CTGCTACCTTTAGCTGTCGCACTGAAAACTTCGGCTGTTTTACCTATTGCACTTGAAATTATCACATTACACAATTTTTTATGGGGTTTTTTCCCTACTAATTTTAATTTTTAACTACCATTTCACCATCTGGGTGCTACTTTCAACTTGAGTCTGCTACCTTTAGCTGTCGCACTGAAAACTTCGGCTGTTTTACCTATTGCACTTGAAATTATCACATTACACAATTTTTTATGGGGTTTTTTTCCTACTAATTTTAATTTTTTACTTCCATTTCGCCATCTGGGTGCTACTTTCAACTTGAGTCTGCTACCTTTAGCTTTTAGCTTATGTTTTGCGCAACAGGCATTCACCCTTGCATTTTCGTAGGAAATGCAAATTCTCTAGTTATTATTGTTGTTGTTGTTGTTGTTTTAAGCATTTATATTGTGGAAATCTTGATTATAATAATTATTAGTGTCCTTTTAGATCTCTCTTAGATTCTAACAAGGGGGAATGTCCTTTTAATTAGATGAAAGGCGGTTCCTGATATTTTAAAACCGTGATTGTTGGAAGTGATATATGTAAAAACGGCCTGCCTTAATATCCATCAACACGCGCTCTGACGTCACTGCTGTCCACGCAGCTGGTGGTGCTGAAGCTGAACAAGATGGCTGTTTGTTGGGGACTCGAGAGCTGAGAGAGAAGAGGAAAGAGTCCTAAATCCGGTCGGGTTCGTCGTGGAAACGGACCGAGAGGTCGGCGACGGTTGGCGCGAACTTTCCGAGCGGGAAGGCTGTAGTTTTTAACGCGTGTCACGAACCGGTCCGGGCCCGGGTGTTTCTAAAGCAGCGACGCCTGGCTTCTGTCTTTCCAGCCCAGTCATTCATTCCCAGACTGCCGTGTATCCACAGATTGGCTCTGCCAGTTAGGARACTGGTGAAGAAGCTGGACCCGGTACGAAAGAAGCACATAAGAAATGTCCTTGCTGTGTGTTGGAGGTAAGAATAAAACCTTTCAGTAAAATGTGTTTCCTTCACCTGCTCTGTGAATTCAAACCCTTTTTTGTGTTGACCATGWAGGTAAATATTGAATCAAAATGTGTTTTAAAAATAGTCATTTTGTATTAAGAAACGTGGGGGAAAATCCCAATAACAAAGTGCAACTTTTAATATTTATTATTATTTTCCTTACAATAAATACATACAAACCAGTTCATTTTGGGAGTAGTTCTGGAGTTCATTTCTGTAAAAATTAATTAATTAATTAATTAATTAAAACCACTCCCACTTAATTATTCAGGACTTCAACTGGACGGTTTAAATATTTAACGTTACACATTTTTCATAATTGCATATTCTTTGCTTTGCGTTCAACAGTTTTGGCATAAATGGTTACAAGCAGTCACAGTCTGAGTTCTTATAAATGTCTACTTATTTATCGAACATTAAGATTAAAATAACTAAAAAACACAATAAAAGTTGGTTAAACATGTGAGGAGTTAATTGATCTGAAATCAATTAACTTGTTTCTCTGTATTTTCTGCAAATTTTATTCCAGTTTATAAATTTCCCAGTCAGGGAACCTTTGTAAACACAACATTTGTTCTTTTTTGTGAAAACAAGAACAAGAAAAACAACATTTAGTAAAAACCTTTCAATGCCAGAAAGGGATGTTTAGTGGTGTTGACCAGATAGCTGAATATTTATTGGCTGTCTGTGGTCTTAAATGGCAGTTTCTGTTTGCATGTTTCTCATTATTCTCTTCAGATGTTTTCGGCTTGCATCAGTTTGTATCAGTACCATAATGTGGCTTGAGGGGAGTGCAGAAATGAAGAAGACAAGGGGTTTGGCTGTCATGCAGTATTACCTGCTCAGAGTTGTTTATAATCTACTTCCGTGTCTTGTGTTGTTAGATATAATCTGTGAAATGATGGATTGTGTCACGCAGGCTGAGTAAGCATTTAAACCTCCCTGACATTCAGGCTAGGGTACCCTGTTGCAAAACACACTACATTAAAACACAACATGGACATTTGACCTCCTCTCAGCATCTATTAATATCTGTCTCGAGTACTTCTCTGGAGTTTGCTTTTATTCTCTTTCGGATCAGACAACCTGGGATTAGAATTTAAAATTGATCATACAYATTTTGGCTTCAAAACATTACCACTTCTTTGAAACTCACTGTCCTGCTGCAGAATGAACASACATCTTTGATGGTATCACAAGTAACGGCTTGAGGACAGTCATTAATCCTGATCAARTCCCCAGCTCTTTTTCTAGAAATATAGCTCAAATCTTATTAAACTCCACCATTCTGACAATCCTACTGGTGTTGCTCTTTATTAAACTGCCTCCTAGACAAAAGTGTGTAAAATTATAAACATCAGTTCAAAGCAGTTCTTATGGTTTGATGAAAAGTTGAGATGCTACATTAGCAGTACCTGTTAGCCACACAGTAATTAAAATATCATAAACTGGACAATAATCCTACAAAGTTTCAACTTTTTTTTAAATATTCCTGCCGGGCCGGCCCAGCCTGTGGTATAGGCAGTATAGGCAAATGCTAAGATCAAAATCAATCTAGGGAGTGCCACAAATGGTGGATAATTTTTATTTTATTATTTTAATCAGATTATAGTTGACTTAGCCTGTAGAATAATCACTGGTTACCAATAAAGACTGGTTTATTAAGATAACTTGTTCTGTGGGTTTCTCAGCTGCTTTGTTACTACAGGAGGTGTTATGCGGTGCAGAGGATATTTCATGATGAAAGTATACAATCAAGACTACTGGTGCTCAGTATGTAAATGGAAAGCAAAATAAAGATAATGAAATTTTCAGATGAAGATCAGGTTAAAGTCTGTTTTTCAGTGTTCTACCTTCATAAGATGTTGATCTTGCATTGTTTTATTAATTTAGAAGTTAGTAAAAGGCTTTTTAAATGGGTGAAAATTGCATAACTTTGAGCAGATCTTCTACAAAATATTTCGTGGGCATATATCTCTGGACCCCACTATAACTGCTTCACACCACAGCTGCTCGTTAACATGAACAGGTGTTCCTCTTTGCTGTCAGCAGATGTTGGCAGATAGATTTCTGGTGTTCTGTTTCAAATGAATTATATTATTACCTGTTTTAATTGGACAACCTGGTTTCTAAAGATAAAAAAACTAGTATCAAAGACAAAATTATTTCATTTGGTATGTGAATGTTTGCAAATTGTTAGTGAGATTAAAAAAAATTGCACAAGAGGCGCCACCTGAAATCTTATCTTCAAAACACCAAATTAGCTCAGGTCAGTCCTGTGTTCCTGTAAGAACTGAGGCTATTTTGAAAGAAAAGGAAAATTACATTAATAACTATTGTTTGATTTCGATGTTAAATCACAATGGGTTATGTAAATTGCATTTAAAAAAATAATTTTAATTATTGCTCAATAGTGGATAGAGTGGACATTTTTCATTTTAGTTTCTAACCCTTAGCTCACATTTATTCTTTATTTTATACTGTGATTTATTTTTTCTAAATGCAWACAGTATATACTACAGGATAAAGAAATATCCTTCTTTTTTAGACCCTTTCTAGCTTCAGGCTTCCTCTGTCTTCAGTTTATTTTCTGCCTCAGGTGCACTGCAGCTATGATTCTTTTAGACACACAAGGATCTTTTTTTCACGCTTTTTATTTAAAATATCTGTAGCTGCACCTTTATCCCATTCTTGCTGATGTCAGTATAAAGTGTGAGCTCTGGAAAAGTTACTTATTTATAAACCTCAACAAATACAAAAATAAAAAAATTTGAGCTCCTCTGCTGGAGAGCGTGAGTGGTTGTACTTGTTCATTTTTCCCCAGTAAAGAAAGTGAAACTGAGCTGCTGTAATTGCTGTGGCTCATCATTTTATGTCGCATCACAATATGTAACATCCTCTTTTCACCCACTCCACTTTAACCTTTTTGTCTGCGTGGTAAACGCAGCAGTGTTGGTTTTAGTCTTTTGCACGACATCAGATTCTCCTCCTACCTTCTCATACACCCCCTCCTCATCCTCTCCCTTCTTTGCCAGCACCCCCCTCCCCTCCCGTCACACTAGAGTGGTTATTTTTAGTGTTGGGGATGCAGCTCACTCTGCCTGCATCCGGCGGCTCCACAGAGAGATTAATGGAGCACAAGTGAACGAGAAGAGAGAAGGGAGCACACGTGCATATTGGCCACATGGCAGGGTGGGGGAGCTTGTAGGAGGGAGGGACTGGCTGAGAGGAGAAGACTGGGTGAGGAAAGGGCACTTTATGTCATGATGTGATCGTCTGTAAGCACTTTAAAGTACAGCTGTCAATTAGTGCCTTTAGCTCGTGTTTATCAACTGTGTGTTTATTCTTTCCAAGGAATTGCACTTTCCCTGCCCCTCTGACGTGATTGTTTTGTCAGCAGCTAAAATATCGGGAGGATTTTACTTTGAAATTAGCTAAAGACCATAGATTTCCCCATAGGATTGGACAAAGTTGCAACTTGTGCAATTAATCGTCAGGAAAACTAGCAGCAATTCATATTTGCAACTTTGCTGTTATTGCAATAGGTGCCATGAGATGATGACATGTTTTTGTGTGTGACTTAAAAGCCCGTTTAGCTAGCCAAATAGTTGCTAGTTTGTTAGCATGGCTGGTTTACTAGCAGGATAGCTATTCAGTTTGCTAGCCAGATAATTGTCCAGTTAGCATATAGCAGTGGTGTCCAAAGTYGGTCCTCAAGAGCCGGTGTCCTGCATGTCTTAAGTGCTGCCTTGGTTCAACACAGCTGAACCTAAGGAGTG